ATCCAACTTGTATCTGAAATACTGGCAAATAAATCTCCATCTTCTGAAGTTGATTTGTTATAACAGAGAAATGAGAATTTAGACAAATTTAATGTTTAAATGTTTTCATAAAAATTCACATTTATATTTTTAATCTTGATTTTCATTCAAATGTATTTGACTTGGAGTGTGATTTTTTTCAAGTCAACAGCATCATTTATTTTATTCACTTTTATGCATTATGTTATGCAAATTCCATTTATAATGAAAAACAATTCATCATAAAAATTTGTTCCACACTATCCACTACTTTTGAATTAATTAGTTTGAATATGTATACATATATGTAGTATGTGTATATGTGTGTTTTTGTATCTATTTGTATATATGTTGTTTTAATTGGGGACCAATATTATACGATTCTTTTCTTCTCTCTGCTCCTTTTCATTTAATGATTTTGTGCTTGTTTTGTTTAATTTTAATGTTTGTTTTTGTTGATTAAATTTGAAAATTGTCCCGTTATTGTACATTTAAACCCAACTTTTGCATTTTGAGATACTTTAATTGCAAATGCAAATTTTCTTTCTACAGACATTTGACAAGAATTTTCAAGAATTGTGTGAAAGTTCAAAACAGCCACAGGAACTGCATCTAATATTCAATTAATTAGTTACAAAATTTGCTTCAGTAAAATAAATATTTTCCAAACTGACAGTAATCCTTCTTAGTGGTTGTTTGCATATTTGTACATAAGTTGCTGAAACAACTGAACATGCTTCTGAAACGTTAAATATGTAAATAACACTTTGTGTCACCTGGAGCTTGTTTGCTCAATGAACGTTTTTATGGGTGTGTTTGTTTTTGTCAAACCTGTTTAACCTGCTGCAGATCTAAATTGGAATGAAATGTTGTACAATAAATCAGTCTTGCACTGAGGAATAACTGTGTAAGATTTAGTGAATTCTTTCCAAAGAATGAAGCCAAATCATAATATTTATGTAATATAGTTCATCGGTGATTAAGTCATACAAAGAGGTAAATTGTGGTTAGGCATTCCCAAAAGCACAGTGGCCCTTATGACTATAAAGAAAACCATTAAGTGAAGCAGGTGTCTGAATAGTTTCTGCAGAATTTCAAACTTTATGGAGACAGAATGTATTTACAAACAGGAAAGAGCACGTGCCCGGTTTTATTATTTGAAGACAGTGTTGGAAAATCCCTGGTTTAGCAACCAAAGTACAGCATATTTAAAATACCTGTAAATACAAATGAAAAGAATTGCTACTTTATTAAATGCAACTGAAAGTGAACTTTGACAACTTTTATTCAATTGTTTCTTTTTAAAGATTGTCACATTTTAGCATTTGCTGTCACATTTTAGCATTTGTTTTAAACAAAGGTTTGGAATAATTAAAAACAAACAAGTGAATTTATTAAATATTGCTTGGCTTCTGTTGTGTGCAGCTGAATGATAAGAATTGAATTCCACTGAAAATTTACTTTTGACCCAAGTTTATGTGTAAAATTGTCATCTTACTGTAATTTACATCTGGTACACACAGTGCACATATGTCCTGTAAAATATTACAATTCAAAATCAAATGGACAGAGCTTATAAAACATAAAATCTAGATACTATACACAGTCCATTGTAAGATTTGTTTTTATATTTTCAATGAAAGATAAACATCTATCTCAATCATTTTTAGCTTTAAAAATACATTATGTAAACAAAACATTGATAAACTCATCTGTATATCAAACTTGTTGTAAAGTTGTGTACAGCTTATACACTGCTCAAAAAAATAAATGGAACACTTCTGCTCAAAAAATAAAGGGAACACTTAAACAACGCACACTAACTCCCGATCTTAATCAATGAAATATTCGCATTGAGTACTTTGTTCTGTACAGAGTTGAATGTGCTTCACAAAAGTTTGATTTACTTGGAGTTAGTGTGCGTTGTTTAAGTGTTCCCTTTATTTTTTTGAGCAGTAGTGTTCCCTTTATTTTTTTGAGCAGTAGTGTTCCCTTTATTTTTTTGAGCAGTGTACTTTGTTATAACTCATTTTCCTCATCTGAACTTTGTTCAGGTGAGGTTGTGAATGATGTTGAGTCTTCAGTTCCTTCCTCTGTCGGTGCTGTGTCCACCACTCCTGAACTCTCCTCGCTTGGGGTATCTGGTGGGGGCAGATCGTGTTCAAAAGCATGATTTGTGTGCTCCTGTCTGTGCCGATTCCGAACCTCCTCGAAGATCTCAAGGACCTACAAACCAAGAGATAAAAAATAAACAAAACAAATCTCTATGGCAAGCATTATTAATTATTGTTACCAAGAAAAAACAGGCCACATTTGAAGTATCTTACCCTAGATTTAGGAATGAGACCCACTCTAAAGAAACCAATTTGTCCAGTTTCAATCTTTGTGCAGTCCACAACAGTAGAGGCAATATTTTCTGGGGAAGGTCCATCACACAACACTCCTTCCACCTACAAGAAATAAAATTCATACAGTATGTTTTACAGACACACAACAAGAATAACTAAAGGAAACAAAAATGGCACAGTGGGTCTGAATTGGTTGCTAATAAATATTTCTCTTTACCTTCTTTCCTAGTTTGGCGTAAACTTGGTTATGGTGAGTTGTGTCTGCCTCGCCTGTTGGGTTGGCTGAAGTTACAGCGATGGGTCCCACCTGTAAAACGCACAAAAAATGGTTGCTCACTTTGTTGGCTTATAAAATGTGTTTATGTTCAGTGAACAGTGTTTGTAGCCTCTACCAGGTTAATGAGATGTGTGGCTACTGCACAGTCTGGGTTTCTGATGGCGATACTTTGTGGAGTTCCTATGTGTTTGGCAGCATCTCCTAAACCAAATATATCCATCCAGGGACCTGCAGGAGTCAACAAAAACAATGTTTTCTTTATAAAATCCCTCTGTACTTGATGTATTTGTGTGTATTCATGGTTTATTCAAGTGGTTTAGATGTAAACTAGAAGCACTCGGAGAGCGCAAACCTCCACCAAGACCAATTTCCCCCATCCTGTAAGAGTTAATGCGCAAAAGCAGAGATGGAAACACATTTGGCGAATAAGTTCTGACGTATTGAATATTTAAGCAGGCAGTATGCACGGGATTTCTTCTCGGTGGAGTCCAATGTGGAAAAAAATAAAAAAAGTCAGACTCGTCACCTGACGTTATTCAAAGTCAAACTGGTGTCGGATTAAGCTCCTAAGTTTTCATCAGTCACATTTCACTGTGTAAAACGTCTGTTTTATCTCCTTGTATGAGTTTGTAATGGTTTGACTCTTTATAAAGTGCTTCCTGGCTCCCCACGTCTCCAAACTTTGAGGCCCGGCAGCTCTCTGTTTACAAGCCTAGTAGCGAGAAACTGTTTTGATTGGTTGTTTCGGAAACGTGGTGTTTGAGGAAATGGGAAAAATAGGTTTTATGGTGCAGTCATGCACTTCCTGGTCACAAAACGATCTGTAAATGCACATATTATGGCAAAAATTATTCATCATTAAATCTGGTTTTAACATTACTTTTATAAAGTTTGAAGTCCGTGCTATCCAATCCAGCTCACTGTTTTTTTACAGAAGCCTTGTGAAAGCATCACAGCTTTGCCGATCTCAGAGTGTTAGAAGAAATAAAATAGCTGTATCCGCATCGTGATCCGGAAAATCACCAAAATTTAAAGATATGTTCCTTGGCCCAGTACCCACAAGTGGTAAAAATGTCATGACAATCAGTCCTCAAGTTTTTGAGTAATGTTGCCCACAGACAGAAAGACAGAATGACCGACAGACAGATATAAGTGACCGAAAACATTATCTCGCCCTTGGCGGAGGTAATAAAGAACCTCCCACCTCTGGGTATGACCATGCTGATAGATGACGGCCATGCAGCTTCCATGAAGTCCAACAGCAGAGGACTCAGCAGGTGTCTCACAGGCTCCAGCT